GGGGGCTCCAGGTTCTGGTTGTAGCTCTGCTGCTTCCCTGCTGGGTGTCCTTTGGCAAGTCACTTCACTGCTCTCTGCCTAGGTTTCCCCCTTGGTAAAACGGGCATGACAATACTGATCTTCTTTGCAAAGCACCTTAAGCTCTGATGATGCAAGGTGCTGTGTAAGACCTGGGTGTTGCTGTAATGCAACACAGGGCCAGCAGCTTGGGACTTATGTACCAACCTGCAGGAGCAAACCACAGCCACTGGCTCAGGGCAGATTCGCAGAGCCCAGGTCCTGGGCAGGGAGCAGGAGAATGATGGAATTCCACCACTGGAGACAGTTAACCCCCTGAAGGCCAGTGCCTGTGGGAAGCATCTAGACAGACTGTCCTGGAACAGAAGTGCAGCAAGTCCTGTGACAGTGATAGGCTGTGGCCCGTGTTATGCAGAAGCGTGAATTGGTCTGGCAGTGTCCCCTTAATGATGCTCAAACCCTCCTTCCAGAGCCCATCCCCACTGCCAGGCCTTGCCCAGACAGAGCAGCTTCAGCTATTTGTAGCTGCCAGGGATCCTGCTACCTCCCCTGGGCTGCCTGTCACACACTCCCAATATGGGGCTTGGCACCGGCTGACTCACTTTCCTGTGTCCTCTAGGTGAGGTCGTGGTGAAGTGGTTCGAAGCTGTTCAGACCGGCCTGCCTATGTGCGCTCTTGGGGCAGCGTTTGGCCCCATTCGTCTCAAAGCCCGGTAGGTTGAGCAGCCTGTAGACTTCTGTACAGCCTGCAGTCTTTCTCTTCCATAGCCCACCTGGTTGTGGGTGGGCAGCACAGTCAAGTGGGTTAGAGCAGGCCTCATCAAATCGGGAGCCCTGGGTCCTATTTCTGCCTTTGTCACTGATCCGCTGAGAGTGTAAACAGACAAACAATGACACTGCTTGGAAGGAGGGAACAGCTCGCTATCTGTGAGTCTGCATCAGCTGATCTCCTGTGTTCTGTATAGTTGCTATTATCCCATGGAAGTGGACCTAAGCCAGGGTGATTTGTCCCTGAGCGGAAGTGGGTGTGTCACTACTAAGGCTTAGCTTCTGCTTGCTGCAGGGTTGAGCAGATGGATGAGCTGGTTCCAGCGGCATTGGCTACGCTGTGGTGAATGCTTTACTCCAGCCTTGCAAAGGAGTATAACTGTCCTGCCTGCCTGTACTGGCATGGCCTTTTGTAAGGTTCCTTGTGAGGTAGCTGAGGGGATCCGGAGTGAAGCCCTTCCTGTTGAGAGACTGAACTGCTTGATGCAGCTACCATGCTGGGACCTGTGGAGCAGGCAGTGTCAGTGCCCTCTGGCACCTGGGCAATGTCCCCAGAGCAGGGAATGAAACCATTTCTGTCCTTTTCCAGGAAGCTGCAGGTCTTGACCACAGAGCTCATCCCCTGGGCTGTGCAGAGTGGGCTCCGTGCCAACTGCATCCTGAACATTTACTATGAGCGCCGCTGGGAGCAGACGGTGGAGTCCCTGAGGGAGGAGATCGGGATCCTGCCTCCCCCTTCCATTCGCCTGTGAGAGCCCAAGCGTGGAGGGCATTGGCCTCCATGAGGCTTTGGTGGGGCAAAGGGGGGGATGTCCTCACAGGGCACCAGCCTGGAGAGTGATGACAACCCCCTCAGGGCTTCGTCTCCTCCAGAGAATTTTCCTGCAGCACTTGGGACATTGCTTAGCCTGAGCCAGTGCCTGGCACATCACTGTCACGTCACAGGCACAGCTCTGATGACTGCAACATTATGCCTCCTTATGGGAAGGGGAAACCTGACCCCTGCTGCTGTGTTGGCCCCATATAAAGCTGGTCCCATGTAGAACTGCATCCAGCAGAGGTTTTGTTCACACTGTCGGGTGTGCCTGCCGTGTTCAAGGGGTGCAGGTGGTGCATTGCTCCCATTCATCCCTATGGGCTGCCCTCCCCACCAAGTCATGGGAATGCTCCCTGGGTTGCATCTCATTAGCTTTAGTGCTGGGGTGGTGATGAGGGAAGCAGTTGTGGGTTAGATAGTGCTGGGACAATATGGCCTTTGCCTTCCCATTGACATGGGACTCCCAGGGGAAGACCTCCCTCTCTGGTGGGCCCTCGTTTTCCAGGGACTGCTTTCTTCAAGGCCTCACTTGTACTGCAGAGCAATGTTGGCAGAGTGCTAGCATCTCTCCCTGCCCTGCATCCCTCTAGCAGCTGGCCCCTCCTATCAGCCAGCAGGGTAACTCTGTCCAAATGGGAAGGCTTCAGCAAGCATAGGGAGATAGTTCCACAGCCCTTCGGTTGCCAGTGCTTCCCCAGGGCGACCTCCACACCCTGGGACAGCTGCAGAGCAGACCCCCCCTGCCCTACTGGTGCCAACTGAACTGCCAGCAGAGTGAGGCAAGTAGAGACAAGGCCCTGCCAGAGCCAGTTGTGTAACCAGACCAGGGTGATTCATGGCCTAAGATGGAGCAACAGCAGGTCCTGCCCTAGCCCGCCTTGCTGCCCTTGCTCTACTGGCCTGCTTTAGGCTTTGTGTAAAGCCTAAAGCTTTACACAAAGCTGTGTGGTGGATCACACAGTCATGCTGGCCCTGAGGAGATGCAGCAATCGACTTACTGACACAAAGCCAAATTGCCCTGGAGTGTGCGCACTACATGCCCATGGTTCAGAAGGAGCCAAGCACCCTGGCAGCCTGCCTCAGTGACTCCCCATGCTGAACAGGCTGTGGAACCAGAGCCCTCAGCTCCATCTTCTCTGGCTCACACCAGACACTGACAGGTTGGTGGAGGAAAGCAGCTACAAGCCCTGTCGATGCTCTGTGTGGGATGGTTCTTCCCTAGGGCCCTACTGCTGTCCCTGTCCCAAGCACTAAATTCCCACACTCGCTCTGGTTGTAAGTAGCCAAGGACCTGGAAGGCTGCAGCAGGGAGAGGCAGCGGGGCTAAGGCCTGAGTCCCAGAGGAAGGAGGATGCTGAAGCTGGGAGCCACCAGCATGGGGTGTAGATGGTGCTTGGCGTAGCAAGGCAAGGAGATGTTGGAGTGGGGAGTTCTGATGCTGAAGTTGCTCTTAATAAAATCCATTGCGAGATGTGCAGTTGGTTTGTCTGCCCCCTGCCCCCTCCTAGGCTCACAAGATCTGACATGGAGCCTCAGCCTTCTGCCCCATGAGGGCCTATTGTTCTTTGTCCCTTGGCTTTGGCCGGAAGGGAGCTGTTGACTTGCACATGCGGTGCACATCCCAAGTGGGCTGCGGGCACAATGGCAGCTGTGTGCTCACATCTTGCTTGGCAGCTGTAGGAGCAGAGGTGCCCAGGGCCTGGTGCAGGCAGGAGCCAGGCAAGGCTTGGTGCTGATCAGTGTCCACCAGTCCTGTCTGTGCTCCTAGGCCCCAGCCTGGCCAAGCTTCAAGTGCCCAGTGGCTTTGCAAAATCCAGTGCAGCCAAACACTACCCCTGTAGGGCAGGATAAATGATTTGGCTGTGGCTGTGCAGGGTAGCAGTGGCAGAGCAAGGGAGCGGGCCTTGTGGGTCAGTCTTCCAGACCCAGGCTGTACTTGTCAAGCAACATTCCCTTGTCAGCTCTCTGCTGCAGGCAGCTTTTCCATGCCACTGCAGCCTGTAGGGCTTCTGGGGCAACACGCACATCCTTATAGCCCAGATAGCCTCTGCCTCCTCTTCCCTGCTGCTCAGGCACCCTCTCCTTGGCAGGTCAGAGGCATCCTGCTCTCTGCCTGGTTTCCAGCTCTCCTGCTGCACTCAGCCAGTCCATGACAGGATAGAGAGGCTGCTGCCAGCAAACTCCGTGTACCAGACAGCAGCCTAAGCAAGTCAGCAAACAGCTTCACCTGGTGTTCAGCTCCAGCTCTTGCTCCCCTCTTCCTCCTCCTCCTCTCTGCCCTGCTGGTTCTGAAGCTTTCCTGTTTCTCTGGGCTCCCCTAGGAACCTGACTTGTTTTTGCCAGCTGGCAGCTGTGCAGGTCTGTCTAGTACTGGGAGCTGGGAAGGCATAGCAGCAGGAAGGGACAGGATCCTGATCCTGTCTCCACTCATTGTTAGCTTCTTCCCCATGCCCAGCTCCCCACCCTGTCCACATTTCCCCCACTTTTGCAATGAGACAATGTTGCAGGGAGGGATTCCTGATGTAAGGATGGGGGTGAGGAGTTGTAGAGCCCGGGCAGAGTGGCTCAGCACTGACAGGCTGAGCAGGTCCTGCAGCTCCTGTCTGCGTGGGCAGATGCTGGTGGGAAAGGGAATGCGATCCACAGTTGCTGAGGGAGGGACAGGGCTGGAGGAGCCCCAGCCCTGCTTCACTCACTTCAGCAGTTCTTCCCCTCCTTTACTCACTTTCACAATTGAAGTTGCTGCCCTTGGGCATGGTTTAGCCAAATCCCAAGCTTGGCTATTGGGAAACTTGTAACTCAGCCAAAGACAGCACCTCTACCAGGCCTCTAACCAGTCTAGGTCTCCCTGGTGCTGCCTCTTCCAGACTGGAGCCCTATGGGCAGGGCTCTGTGAGCTGCAGTTGTGAAGCAGGAATTTGGTTTTCCAGCTGAACCCATGAGGCTTTGGGTTGATTTAAACGGAGTCACATTATCATGAGAAAGCAGGGCTGGAAGGGACCTCATGAGGTTGTCTAGTCCAGCCCCCTGCTCAAGGCAGGATCGTCCCTGACTAAATCATCCCAGCCAAGTGTCTGTCCAACCTGCTCTTGAAAACTCCCAAGGATGGAGGTTCCACAGCTCTCTAGGTAGCCTGTTCCAATGCCTGACCCCCCGTGTGGACAGAAAGTTCCTCCCAATCTCCAATTTCCACTGCTGCAGCTTGAGGCCATTGCTCCTAGTCCAGTCCCTATGGCCACAGAAGAAAAGTCCATCTCCATTCCCTCTATAATCACCTGCAGGTATTTGAATACTGTTATCAAATTCCCCCACAGTCTTCTCCAGGCTAAATAACCCTAATTCTTTCAGCCTTTCTTCATAGGTGTTGTCTCCCAGGCCTGTGATCATTTTTTGTTGTCCTGCACTAGACTTTCCAAACCATCCACATCTTTGAAGTGTGGGGTCCAAAACTAAACACAGTACTCCCGGTGAGGCCTCACCAGTGCCAACTAGAGTGGCAGACCTTGTCCATTGCTGCTTTCCCTCTGGGGCACAGGAGCATGTCCACAGTGGCAGAGTTTTATTTTAGGCTGTCCAGTGCCCAGCGTGATGGCTTCTAGACACTAAATAATAGTAAACAGTGAATGAGCTGGAGGGGGAGGTTGACACAGACCCTCGGAGACCCCGGTGCACGGGTAAAGGCAAAGAAAACTGCCCTGGAGGAGAAGGCGGCTGCCTCCCTCTGCTCCCACATGCGCTCTGAGTGAGCGAATGCTTGGTCAAAGCTGCTAGGCCGAGGCTGGTAGGAGGCACCGGTCTGGCAGAAGCATGTGCACGTGTTCAGCCTGCGCCATGGAGGAAGTCCCATCCCAGAACAAGCCCACTGAAGTCAGTAGAGCTACCTGCATCCTTAAGGGAAAGCCTGTGCTTCAACACTCGCAGGATGCCGGTGTCAAATCCAGGCAGCAGAGGGCCCTGACCTGGGCTGCTGTCAGTTTGGATTGGGGCTTAGCTGCGAAAGGCCCTGACCTCTTTTATGCAGCTTTGAAGCATGGAACAGAGATTAGCTCGGTGAGTGACACTTCCCCATGCCCCCGGGGGGAGCAGAGACATTGTCACAAAGGTTCCCAGGTTCGCACCGCCACGCGACAGGCAGATTCCTAGACGGGGTAGGCTCAGTCTGGCTTCAACATGCGCTGTCTGAGTCCCCGCTCCTACGCGTGGTGCTGCTCCCAGAACCGTGGCTGGGCTTGGGGTAAGGTCATGCACCCGGCTCTGTCACGCCACGCTGGCTCTGACGTGACGGCGGCTTTCGTGGCATGGTTAGAAATAGACTGGAAAGAGCGTGTCTCTGCTAGGGGGGCAGCCGGGTGCGCCGGCTGGTTTTGTATCACGCCGAAGCCAAAATGGGTTTCTTGTCTCAGAGCTGTGGCTGTGCCTGGAGGGCAGAAACGTGCCCTTTAGTGCAGGCCAGCTGCAGCCTTGGCACCTCGTCGCCAGGCCAGGTCCGGTGGCAACCAGAGCCAGCGAACCCAGCCCAAAAGAGCTCCATCAGCCTCCTTCAGGAAAGGGGCACAGGGGGGTCTGAGCAGCTGCCCCACGCGTGCTACCGACACCGACACCCACGTAGGCGGCTTATATCTTACGCAGGCCCTGACTCTGAGGGTGGCGGCCGGCGGGTCGCTCGCAGGCGCTCAGGTGCAGGATCAGGCCCGTCAGCTCCCCCTGCACAGCCGGGCTGACCCCTGCCGGGGTGTCTGCAGGGCCCCGAGCTCAGCGGAGGTCCTGCAAACAAACTGAAAGAGAGGGAGAGCTTGGCGGACGTGACTGCGGACGCCTGTATAGCTGCAGTGCGTGCGTACACGTATTTACATGCACGTGGATGTGTCCACACGCGCGTACATCCCACGTCCTCGGCCCCGAGCCCCGGCTCCCCGCAAAAGGGCAGCGTGGCGGGGCCCAAAATACGACTCTGGTGGGACTCGAACCCACAACCTTTGAATGCCGCCCGCCGCCGCCGCGCTAGAAGTCCAATGCGCTATCC